CGCATGCGGTTCTCCCACCCAGCGCAGCGTTTCGTGGCCCCATAGGGAGCCCCGCCGAAGGCCCCAGTGGCGGCCCCGCACTCCTCACACCTTTCGCGGCCCCATAGTGGGTTGTGCGTAAAGCCCCAATGTCAGCGCCTACATGGCGGCCCCTCCCCACATCGGCACACCCTTTGTATGCGTCATGGCCTCATGAGGAGATCACTCCGAAGGCGGTACCAGCAACGACCAGCTCACCGACTTCACACCGACCAGCTTGGCGCCTCCCGCACTGACCAGCTCACCGACTCCCGTGCCGACCAGCTCGGCGGTTTCCGCACCAGCCAGCTCACCGACTCCCACGTCGAACCGCTGGGCGGCTCCCACCGACCAGCTCTCCGTCTCCCGCGCCGACCAGCTTGCCGACTGTCGCGCTGGCCACCACACCATCACAGCAACGACATTCGTGACATTTTCGTTGCGTCTTGCATTGTGGTGCGATTTATTTTCTCCGAACCGGTGTCGAGGATTCCCGCGCAGACCAGCTCACCGTCTCCCACACCGATCAGCTTGGCGGCTTCCGCACCGTCCAGCTCACCGACTCCCGCGCTGACTAGCTCACCGACTCCCGCGCCGACCAGCTCGCCGACTCCCGCGCCGACCAGCTCACCGACTCCCGCACCGACTAGCTCACCGACTGCGGCATCGGCCAGTTCGCCGATTCCCGAGCCGACCAATTCGCCGACTCCCGTGCCGAGTGGCTTGCCGACTTTCGTGCCGACCAGGTCGCTGACTCCCGCATCGATCAGCTCGGTAGCTCCCGTATCGACCAGCTCACCGATCCGCGCCGGCCAGTTCGCCGACTCGCGCTGTCCAGCTCACCGACTCCAGCGCCGTCCAGCTCACCGACTCCAGCGCCGACCAGCTCATCGACTCCAGCGCCGACCAGCGCACCGACTCCCGCACCGTCCAGCTCGCCGACTCCCGCGCGGACCAGCCCGCCGACTCCCGAGCCGACCAGCCCGCCGACTCGCGCCGAGCTGCTCGCCGACTCCCTCGCCGACCAGTTCGCTGACTCCCGGCTCGACCAGCTTGGCGGCTCCCGCACCAGGCAGGGAGCATTCCGCTCGCTCCCGTCGAGGCGCCAGGGAGGCACGGCGCCGTGCAGCTCGGCGGGGAGGAGGGCACCGGTGAGTGCTGCCTGCCAGCGTCCCAGCTCTCCCATCCCTCTTCCCCTCCCTTCGTGGCCTCCCTGTGTGTTGTGCTTGCCTTCTTTGTGTGCTGGTTCCTGCAGTATTTCGCCCACGACTTCTACTCGCACGAGATGTGAGGCCACGGCCTCCTGCGCCATGCCCTACAGGGCACGGGCACACCAGTGTGCCCGACTCCGGCGCCTTCGCCTTCGCCTTCGCCTTCGCCTGTGTGTTGTGCTCTGCGTGCGCTTCCTTGCTTCGTCTGTGGTCTGCGGGCTGCTGCATGCACGGGCCGGGCCCCATCCGCGGCCGCCGGGCGGCCGACCCCGGCCATGCTGCGCTGGGCCGGCCCGCCTGCCGCTCTGCGGCGGGCCCCTGCGCGGCACGGTGCCGCCGCGCAGCGGCGTCGGAGGCGGACCTCGCTGGCTCAGGCCTCCCAGCTGTGTGCCGCGTTGGTTCTCGCCTGTCCTTCGTCCCCTCCTTCTCCCCTCTCCCTCCCCTCCGTTGCGTGTCTCGTGTTCCGCTTGCTTCTGCCCGCGAGGGTCTCCAGTGCGAGTGCCACCGGCACTGCCCTGGTCGTGCCTGGTCGGTTCACGCGCGCGGGCTCCTCCTCGCGCGCCCGCGTGGGACACTTCTCTGCGGTCCACCCTCCAGCGAAGTCGGTGGTGACCGGCGCAGGCAGGTGCGGCGCGCCCCCGTCCTGTTGTTGCTTCCTCGTCTCCTCCTCCTGCCGCTTCGCTTTCAGTTCTTCACCTTTGTGCCAAGGCTTGTTGGAATACACATTGTTCACTTCTAATTATTCGAGAGTTCTTCGTTTTTTTGGGGGGCCAAGATCCTTTCATCTCTAATTGTTCTATCCTGGGCCTCTTCATGGCCACTAGGGAGCCAGGAACAATGAGAAACGAGCACACTTAGAAATGAACACGACTAGGAATGAACGACGTGTGCTCTGCGCGCGGTCGGGTGCGAGTGGGCAGCCGCCTTTCGCTTCTCCCTCTCACGCTGCGGTGCCACCCTGCTGTGTTGACATGCAGTGAGTGGGGTTGGGAGGGGAAACAAGGAAGGCGATACTCGCAACGACGGTACCCACAACTGCATACGGTTGGGTCCTTCGCCAGCCAGGATACTTGTATGTTTGTTCGAGACACTCGATTTTGAAATCCCTACGACGCCTAAGGTTTTTGAAGGATTTCCGCATGCGCGCGCGACGACGCGCGCTAGCGCGGCCGCGGTGACGCGTCAGCCAGCGCCAAGCAGTTATCGCAATCGCCGCCGCTTGGGATTTGCAAGCCCCAATGCGCGGGTGAGTGGGCGGGATGATTGCACGAGAAATGGAGTTGACATCTTCGAGTTCGGCAAAGAAGGAATTGCACCACGAAGAGTACACCATATATTTCGAACCACGTAGCTGACACCACACATATTCTCTTTTTCCTATAACAGTGGAATCTCTCCCCCCTCACCCAACTTGGACTTCACGGACCCCTTCCGGTATTGCATTGTATATTTGCTTGCGCACTCGATCCATCTTGAATATGAGTTCGCACCAGTCGAGGCAGGGTGGTATCGCTCCCCCCTTTCATCCCTTGCAGAAAATTCTATGCGCGTGCACTCGTATATAACAAGTCATCAGTTGCCAAGAAACCCTTGCAACATCTGGTACGGAACACACTCTCGCGTCGTCGCGCGTGGTTTCGTAAGGATTTCAAAATCGAGTGTGCCGAACATATACAGCAGCATATGGGACCGCTGTGACATTTTCTGAAAGAAACTCGGTTTCGCAACAAAAATGTTCAAACAACATTTGCGTTCGCGCTCCTGCGGATTCTTGAGAAAACCATACTTGTTTACATGTTCAACAATTGCTACCAATCGTGCCTCCCCCTCTTGCGCGCGCGTGTCGACATCTTTCGAACGCCACTGCGATTGTGCTGTCGCAACACACCCTTGCAACAAACGGGACGAAGTGCACGAGCGCGCGCAGGCTCGCTCGCAGAGCGGCCGCCTGGTTTCGCGCGACCGACGCGGCCGCGGTGGCGCTGACCGCTGGGAATTCCCTAGCGCGTCTCGCAGGCCGCGCTTACGCGCGGAAGCAAACTTCAGTGCGAGACGGTGATTCGGGCGTGCGCGGTACCATGGCATCGTCGACAAAGGCAGGCACAATGATGATAATATCATTGCTTGCGACGAGGACGAAGATGACGACGGAAAAGGCAAATGACGGCGCAGGTGCTCACGCCGATGACCATGATAGTGTCCACGTGTCGGTGATGGAAGAGCGGGAAGGTTTTTGACATGCGCGCGCGGCCGACGGGCGCGAGTGGCCCGCATGGTATTCTTTGACAGGGGTCGCCCCCCCCCAGCACGCGCGCAACGGTTTTCGAATGATCTGGACGCGCGCACGAGCGTTTGGGTGAATTGGGTGAAATGTTTGAAACACCGACGGTTTCCCTGAAGCTTCGCGAGAGCGCGCGCGCACACCTTTTTGTATGAGCAAGCGTGATGCAAAATCATGTTTTGGTGTTCGGGGCATTCGGATTTGATATCCGTGCGATACCTGTAATGTGTTAAATGGATCGTGGCAGGGGCGCGCGACAATGCGCGAGTGTACATCTCGCTGCGATTATTTGCAAGGAGTTCTGGAAAACGGATCATTTTTGAGTTCCTATTTCGCAGGAGCGATGGGGCGGAAGGGCACGCAAACTTCACACCCCCAGGGGGATCGATAATCCCGGCTTGGACGAGTGGTGAGTCCGAATTTCTTCTGTAGAAGGAGAACCCAGGAGGCACCGTGGCGGCGACGAGGCGGCGACGGTGAGTGCGGAACCGCCAGACCGACGATCGTCCCCGGACGACGGGCGGCGATCAGGCGGGGACGGGGCGGCGACGGCGGCGGAGCCGCCAGACCAGCACGCAGGCCGAGACAATGGGCGGCGACGATGCGGCGACGGGGTGGCGACGGCAGCGGAGTGGCCGCCGGACCAACACGCAGGCCCAGTTCCTTCGAGAACGAGTACACATTGCTTATGTCTAGTTCTACTAAGAAGTTCTATGATGTTTTTTGGGGGCCAAGCTCCCTTCATTTCTAGTTGTTCTCTCCTGGGCCTCTTCCTGGCCACTATGGGGCCAGGAACGATTAGAAACGAGCACACTTAGAAATGAGCACGATTAGAAATGAACGACGTTTAAGAATCCTTAAAGTATGCACGGTTCGGGGAACAGTTTTTTGCGTGCGTGCATGTGTGTACCTCAGCCCCCTGCGAGTATACATGTATTTCAGCCCCCTGTGTGCATTTCAGCCCCCTGTGTGCATTTCAGCCCCCCTACATATGTATCAGCCCGCCTCCTCCCAGCTTCCATTCCCGCCTCCACATTTGCGTTTTTTGCATTCGGCGTGCGTTCCATGCCGCGGGCCATCCAGGCCAGCGGAGATTCACTGGCGCAGGCACTCGTGCTCTTCTCGCGTTCGTGCACAGTTCATCGGGCCATCTTCGAATCTTGTGTCATGGCCGCGAGTTTCTTCCGTCCTTCTGCCACTTCCTACATCCCCTCCATGCCGTTATGGTACGGGTTGTTTTCGTTTTGCCGTGTCTTCGTGCTTGTGTCTTCTTGGGTTTCTTCCATGGGGCCTCTGTTGTGTTCGCGTTCTGCGCCTGCTGCAAGGCTGCGTTTTAACATCGATCGTGGCCCGTGGGCCACGTGCTTTTACTTGTGACCGGTCGGACTTGGCGGCAACGCTGCCGACTTCCTTTCTTTCTCTCCTTGTGCCCGATTCTTTTTCTAATCCCTCCTGTTCCCCCGATGTGCCTGGGTCTGGGGCGATCGCAGGTGCTTAGCTCGTCGCTGCTGTGGCGGACCTCGAAAATATCATGTGGAAGAGGTGCAAGAGATGTGTGGGGGAGAGAAGAGGGTGATGCTGCAGGACTTGGCAGGAGATGCGAGGCATGCGCTTATCGAGGCACAAGTGCACTTTTCATCCGTAGCCTCCGCTGCGGGGCATGCGGACGTGACTCCGTATTCGGAGGTCGTTGAGGTTGGTGAAGTCGTGCTGAAAGAAGGACAAATGGATTTTCCAAAGATCCGCATTCTGAAGAGTGGCAAGCTGAGCTTCCGGCGCTCGCCTGACAGCTCCCATACCCTCAAAAGCTTTGAGGCTGGGGACATTGTCGGTGCAGGCACACTTCTTCCGTGGCGGAAAGGCCTGGGCGCTGCAGCCACAGTCGTCGCCGAGTGCAGGAGCGAGATCCTTTGCATCCCTGGCGAGGATGTGAAGGCTGCGGTTATCGACGAGACCGTGCACACCGAAGTTTTCACAAGGACCTTCATGATGGTCGGCCTCAACCAGCTCAAGACCTTTTCTGGACTCGGCAGAGCCCACAAAATCCATCTCGTGCGGGCCATGGAGGTGAAGGACTACGCCCCACACGAGCTCATTGACACTGGCCTCAGCGTCAGCAGCGTGCGGTACGCTCACGTCATGTTGGGTTCATTGCGCTCGCTGGAAACCGATCAGGAACATGACCTGGGAGTTGGACAGGTCCGGGCGAGATAAGGCAGGGAGGAGGGGAGGGGAAAGTGGGATCGGTGTAGGGGGGCTGAAGGAGAACCGACGGGGCTTGCTCGTGTCTGGTTCACCCAGGTCTTTCTTGCCCCCGAGTTGTTCTCCGAGCAGTCCGTCTCCAAGTGCTGTGCTGTGGACAGCTGCTCATGCAAGGAACACTGCTTGGATGAATAGCTCCAGTATCCCCACGAACATATATATATATACATACATATCCACACACTAAGCGTGTGTAAATATAGATGTGCATATACATATGATCACATACATGTATCCAGACATAGTATACCAGTAGGTGTATGGATCTGCGTATTCCGTTCGCTTCGCGGGGTCAACGTCCGCTGCACGTGAAGACTGGACGTTGGGTGGTTTGCCCTGCGCGTCTGCCGCGCTGTGCTGCCGTATCGTTCTGCCCGTCCCGGGGCTCTGCCAACGCCACGGGGAGGCGGATGCGCTCCTCCGCCCCTTGGTTTCAGCGCCAGGACGAGCGTGCGAATATCTGCGAGCGCAGTGAGCATTCACCGCATGCCACTACAAGGCAGCGCCAAGTTCAAGCTCCGATGGGCATGGCAACAACGCGCCATTCGTATGCAATTCCGCGGGACCCTTGGCGGTTTCTTGGGGCCTTTCGGGGCTTGTTGGGGGCCTCTTGGAGGCTTTTTGGGTGCCCCTGGAAGCCTCTTGGGGACCTCTTTGAGACCTCTTGGGGCCTCTTGGAGCCTCTCGGGCCGTCTTGGGGCGCTCTTGCGCCGTCAGGCTCCTTCGGAGGCCGTCTTGGGGACCCCTCGGGGCCGCCTTGTGGCTCTCTTGGGGTCCTCTCTGGCCGTCCGGGGCCCTCTTGAGCCGTCTCGGGGCCGCTGTGGGCCCTCTTGGGGGCCCTCCTGGGGGTCTGGGGCCGTCTTGGGGCAATCTTGGAGACTGCTTGGGCCGACATGGGCCCCTGAGTTTCAAAAATGGCAAGGACGCGAACATACTGCAGAACCAATCCATGTTTTCGGCCTCTGAAGGTGCTCTTGGGGACCCCCTCGGGGCCCTGTGGGGCTGTCTTGGGGGCCTCTTGGACCCTCTTGGGGCCATCGTAGGCCGTCTTGGGGCCGTCTTGGGCTTTCGGGAAGCTGCGTTGAGTTGTCTTGAGGCCCTCTTGGATCACCAGGAGGCCCCAGAGGCCCAGACCATAGATGTTCCACACGTTTCGGGACGGTTCTGGGCCCCAGAAAGGGGGTCTGCCTTCTTGGTCCGCCGATGTGGCGCCACTCCAAGGGGGTTAGAGGGGAGACAGAATGATGTCAGAGGGCCTTAGATGTAGCAGTTGCGCAGTACTGAATTCAATGGGCACGTTGCATGAAGGCGTCCGCCGAAAAACGATACCAATCAGCACGTCACTTCCTGATGCCCGCGGTGGACATATGGACGAGTGGATCGGCAGGGTGTTCGTCGTGCCAAAAAAAATCAGCACGTCACTTCCGGACTCGCATGCCTCTCGCTTCGCGGGGTCCACGTCTGGAGCTCGTTCGGACTGGGCATTGGGCAGCTCGCCCTGCCCATCTGCCGCGAAGTTCTGCCGTGTCGCTCTGCCCGCCCCGGGGTGCGCTGCCCGCGCCACCGGGGGCGGTTGCTCGGAAACTGGAGCATATACGCTGCCGGTGGCGGGCTGTCTTTCAATCCCAGGACCTTTTGAGGGTCGGGGGCGACGTCGGGCTGGGTGTGGTGTATACTCGTTTCCCCGTGTTCCCGTGGCAAGAGCGAAACTTGTATGCACCAAAACCCCGTATACACCAGGATCCGCTTTCCTGTGCGAGTGTCGGTGCGGGGCCGGAAAAAGCGTCAGTGCATAAAGTTCGGCTCCTTAGTTGCGCCTCTCCCCCCGGTTCCAGCGCTGGGGCGAGCGTAGGAATGCCAACGGGGGCAATGAGCATTCACTTCACGTCAGCACAAGGCAGCGCCGAGTTCACGCTGAGGTGCGCATAGCAATCCACGGGGATGATTTCTTTGGGCCGTTTGGGGGCTACCTTGGGGCATTCTGGAAGGCATCTTTGGGGCCCCTGGAATCCTCTTGGGGGCCCCTTTTGGGCCATTCGGGGCCTCTTTGGAGCCTCTCGGGCCATCTTTGGGCGCTCTTGCGCACTTGCGCCATCTTGGGAGCCTCTCGGAGCCGTCTTGTGGCTCTCCTGGGGTCCTTGGGCCGTCTTGGGGGTCTCTTGAGCATTCTTGGGGCCTCTGTAGGCCGTCCAGGGTCCTCTTGGGCGGTCTTTGGGCCCTCTTGGGGGCCCCCGGGGCCGTTTCGCGGCCATCTTGAAGGCTGCTTGGGCCGACATTGGCCCCCCGAGTGGCGCAGAAGGCGAGAACGCGAGATTTTTGCAACACCCATGTGAACGTCAATGTTTTCGGCCTCTGGAGGTGCTCTTGGGGGCCCCCCTCGGGGCCCTGTGGGGCTGTCGTGGGGGCCTCTTGGACCCTCTTGGGGCCATCGTTGGCCGTCTTGGGGCCGTCTTGGGCTTTCGGGAAGCTGCGTTGAGTTGTCTTGAGGCCCTCTTGGATCACCAGGAGGTCCCAGAGGCCGATACCATAGATGTTCCACACGTTTCGGTACGTGTTTGTGCCCCAGCAAAGAGTTTGCCACCTTGGTCCGCCGATGTGGCGCGACTCCAGGAGGGTGCAGGGGGGAGAAACACAGCAAGATAATGCAATCTGTCGCAATTGTGTAACATTGCAGTGGACGCGTTGCGTTAAGGAGTTTTCCAGGAAACGCTGCCGCTCAGCACGTCACCTCCAGACGTGGATCCAAGAGGCTTGCGTCATTTCTCCGACCCCCAGAAGAGATAAAGAATCACCGGTTCGCCAGTGATTAGAGCCGGATTAAAACTTTTGTTGGCAGTCCAGTGGCTGCCGGCTCATCCCGCCACCGTGCCTGGCTTGTGTATGTGTGTGTGTGTGTGTGTCAGAGGCTTGTTGTGCGCCAGCAGGGAACTCTTGGGAAGCCTTTGGGAAGCTTCTTGGAGACACTTCGAGGTCTCTCGGGGACTGTTTTGGGGCCTTTGGGGGCCTGTCATGGGCCTCTTGGAGGCCTCTTGGGGTTCCGTGGTTGTCTCCTGGGCGCCTGCTGGCCGTCTCGGGCCTCCTCTTGGGGCGGAGGGCACGCAATGTCATTTCGACTTCCCTTCTTGGGCCCCTCTTGGGGCCTTCTTGGAGCCTTCTTGGGCCGTTTTGGGCGCCTCTTGGGTCGTCTTGGGGTCCTCTTGTGCCCCTGAGCCTCTTGGGCCGTCTTGGTGCGCTGTTGGGGGCCTCTGGGGCTGTGTTGGATGCTGTTGAAACCAAAAAAGCCAATATGCTAAAAGTATGCGTTGTCCTATGAGATTGAGGCAATGTTGACCTCTTGGGGCCCTATCGTCGGTCCTCGTGGAGCTCATTTGGGGCGTCTTGGATGCTTCTTTGGCCGTCTTGAGGCTATCTTGGGTGTTTTTGAGGCCTCCTCAGCGTTGTGCAATCTTGTGGCTTCTTGGGCCGTCTTGTGGACTCTTCGGCCGTCTTGAGGTCACCTCGGTGTTTTTTGAGGCTTCTTGGGCCGTCTTCTGGCTATCTTGCGTGTTTAGGAGCCTAGCTTGTGCAATCGGTGCTGGAATATTGAGCATCTTGGAGGCCACGGAGTGTAGAATTGGAGCTTCCGAATAATATGTGTATACGTATCTATACATATATATATGTATGTATGTATGTATGTATGTATGTATGTATGTATGTATGTATGTATGTATGTATGTATGTATAGAGATGTGCGTGTTCGTGCGTGTGTTCAGCGGTCCTTGAGGGCACGGCCGCGCCCTCGCGCTTAGTATTGTCACTGACTCCGCCTCGTCGCCGCACGCGAGGCCGCTCCCGCCAAAACGTGTGTGTACGTGTGTGCATGTGTGTGTGCGTGCGTGCGTGCGTGCGTGCGTGCGTGCGTGCGTGCGTGTGTGTGTGTGTGAGTGTGTGTGCGTGTGTGTGTGTGTGTGTGTGTGTGTGTGTGTGTGCGTGTGTTTGTGTGTATGTGTGTGTGTATGTGTGTGTGCGTGCGTGCGTGCGTGCGTGCGTGCGTGTTTTTTTTTGTGTGTGTGTGTATGTGCGTGTGTTTGTGTGTGTGTGTGTGTGTGTCTGTGTGTGCGTGTGTTTGTGTGTGTATGTGTGTGTGCGTGCGTGCGTGCGTGTGTGTGTGTGTGTGCGTGTGTGTGTGTGTGTGTGTGGGTGTAAAGGCTTATTGTGGTATTGATTCTGAGTTCTCACGTCTGAATAAGAATTGCTGTTGATCGCCACTGCAGTCCACTGCGATGTTCAGCTGAAGTTCCCCCACACCAGGTGATCATAATTTTTTGTTTGATGTGTCTTTTTGGTGTCAGGGCAAGTCTTGATCCTCAAACTATGTCACTTGACCTCCGACTTCAACAATGACGGCTCCCGCTTGACACTTCGAACTCCAACTTTCTCAAGAATCGCGCTGTCGCCTAAGACCCCCCCATGATTTAGTCAGGAATCTTGCTCTTGCTCCTCACGAATGGTGCTCTCGCATGGGGTTTCTCAGAGATATCGTCAGAAATTGCGCTTTCGCGCTGACATTTTTTGGCTCTCGCCCAGGGCGTCCTTACGAATCACTTAGGAATCGCGCTCTCGCCCGATGCCACTTCAAAATTTGCCCAGGACTCGCGCCTCAGTGCCCCGCCCGCGCCACCCGCACGTTAGGGTCCGCCCTCCCTGTCCGTCCCGTTGGAACCGCTCCCCCGACCCGCCCGCCAGGGCCCGCCCGCCCGACCCACCCGCCCGAAGGTCCCGCCCGCCCGACCTTCCAGGCAGGGTCCGCCCGGCTCCTTGTCCCGCCCGCCTGCTCCCTCCCCGAGGGTCCGCCCGCCAGACCCGCATGCTGTGGTCCGCCAGCCCGAACCCGCCCGCTGGTGTCCGCCAGCCCGACCTGCGTGTCATTTGGTCGGGGTTTACCCAGGAGCTGGCATGAGACGACCTGCCGCCCCAAAGCTGGCACGTCCATAAACGGAGTGGTATGCATGCTGAATGGGAGCCACAACGATCGAGCACGTTCGAACATATTGTGATTATCTCTCTCTCTCTCTGTCTTCCTCTCTCCCTCTCTCTCTGTCTGTGCACATCCGTACATGTACGCATGTATG